ATGGAAGTACACATCGGTGCTGATGGCGCAGCCATTCGAGGTGGCCAAGACGATCCTGCAAGTGAGGGCACAGGATGATCTGGGGGGGCTTGCAGCGGCAGCGGCGGCCGAGGAGGCCAGGAAGAGGCAGGCCAGTCAGAGAATATCAGCGTATGAGGAGGTAAAGCTGCATGTGTCTATCTCGAAAGACTGTCGCGTGCTAATCGTTCGGGCGCTCTAGACTGGGGATTCCGACTCGGATCCGGATGAGATGTCGTATTTTACCTCGAACATACCAAGTACACCCACGTCGTCTTACAGTAATCGAGCGCAAAAACCGCGACATCCGAGCCCATTACAATCGCCGCGAGTCCCGACGAAACCTCTCCCTGCACACCAACTCCTTATCCGAACGCCCAACTCAGTTCTCGAGGTTATCTCCCAGCTATGGCAAAAGGAGGGGGCATGGGGAGTCTGGAAAGGCGCCAATGCGACATTCATCTATTCAGTCCTTCAGTCGCTGCTGGAGAACTGGTCGAGGAGTCTTCTGAGCGCGCTCTTCAACGTGCCAGATTTGGGGTTGAAAAACGACACGGACAGGCTGATCGATATCGCCTCTCCATACCCTTGGGCGTCGCTCTTCGTCGCGGCAGCAGCCGCTGTGACAACCGGCCTCATCCTGGCCCCGCTGGATCTCGTCCGCACTCGGTAAGGGCAGGCGTTATTCCTGTTGACGTCATGCTAACTTTCAGTAGACTGGTTATTACTTCTACTGCCCGTGGAACGAGACGGACATTCGCCGCTCTCCGAAGTCTTCCATCATATTTCTGCCCATCCGGGCTTGTCTTACCCACCATCCTCCACTCGCTCGTCCATCCGCTCCTCACCCTCTCTACCCCTCTGGTGCTGCGGAGCCAGTTCATGATTGACCGCGAGGTTGCGCCAGTAACTTTCTCCCTAGCGAAGTTCTGCTCCTCAACGGTCGCTCTATTCGTCAAGCTACCGCTCGAGACGGTGCTCCGCCGCGGCCAGGTTGCTGTTCTCAGCTCACCACGATATCTCGAGGCGCTCGAAGGGTTAGGCCCGCGGAAAGCCCGTGTTGAGCAGCTCGAGACCATCGTCCCGGTTGGCAGCTACAACGGTGTATTCGGCACCATGTACACCATCGTCAACGAGGAGGGGTCCCACGCCGTTTCGAAGACTGCTGCGGCGAACGCCAGGACAGCCGCAGCGAGGAAGGGCAAGGCGACGGTCTCAGAGACGATATATCGGCAAGGCCAGGGGCTAGATGGGCTCTGGCGAGGATGGAAGGTCAGCTGGTGGGGCTTGGTTGGGCTATGGTCTGCCGGTGTCCTCGGAGGTGGCGGCGACGGCGAGTTTTAGTCGGTTGCCTTTCGTTCTGTGTACAAAAGTCCCACCGCTCTTGGTCTCTCCAGCTGGCGTTTTATTAGCTCGAGGTCAGTTGGTTCGGTTGGCGAGGGGTGGGTGGGCTCGGGGCGGTGGGTTGGTAGTTTCTTTGAACTGGACCATCTGTGATTCCCCTCTCATGAAATGAATGATATCCCTGGTTCTCCTGTAGAGTATATCGCTAGGGAGGTGTTTATGTTGGAATATAATAGATGGAGGGCAAAATCAACTATTTCGAAAGCATGTCCTTGATGTGTGATCTGCTGTCTGCTATAGACTGGGGGAAGGGGGGGTTGGCTTGTTTGATGGGTATGGGGGTATGGAGATGTATGAAATTGACACTCTCGGGCGGACAACGGCATTTTTTTTTCCATCCGCGTAGAAGTCTACATATATATTTCCAGTTCTCGTCAGTGGTTATTGTATTGTCCAAGTTGTTTTGAGCAAGCGGCCGTTTATTAGCCCTGAGCTTTATTACATGTATGTGTGTTGCGATGGCTTCTCACAAGGTCTTTCCAAGGGGCATGTCCAACCGTTAAGGGGCGCATTTCGGAGGGCTGGGGTCGTTTTTTTTCACATTTATCTCATCACAAGAGATTGGTACCGTAGGTAGTCCAGCAGCCCCTAGACTCAGAGAGAGAAAGTTTTTGAGTGTGTGCAAAAAAATATGTATTTCTGAAGACCATACCATGCCACATAATGCAAATGCCGCTAGAGATGTTAAAAAAAAAAAAAATGTATATACAGCGAAGTTTCCTTGGGAGAAGCGGTTTCATCCCCTCCAGCTTGGTAGGTATCCTACCTATGTCATAAGACAACACCCCTTTCCCCTTTTTTCTCGTCGGATCTATTCCCTTTTCTGGTGGCAACCCGACCGACCGACCGACTATGTGCAAACATCATATCTAAACGCACTGCGAATAGTACGAGTTCAGAACAGTGCAAGTCGACCCGGCCTCGCACGTCGTCGGGCCGGTCCACCCGATGCCGCCGCACTGTCCCCACTTGGTCTGCACCTGGCCGCCGCCATTAGTAGGGGTAGGCGCCGCCGGCGTAGAGGAGGAGGAGGACTTGGTGCTGCTCGTGACGAGCGTGGTGCGGACGGAGGTAGTAGACGGTCCGGCAGTCGGCGTGGGCGTGGGCCCAGGCCCAGACCCGCCATCGCTATCCTGGCCGGGGAGCGTGGCCGTCCTCGTGGCCGTGGCGACGGACTTGCTCTGGGCGACGGAGCTGGGGACGCCGGCGATGAGGGCCGGGCCGGGGACCGGGTAGACCACGGGCTGCGCGTAGGTATTAAACAAAACACCGGCGTCGTTGGCCTTGTAGAGGGACGTCCCGGGCACGCCGGCGGGCGAGTTGGAGCCCGAGCCGGTGACGCGCAGGTTCATGCACTGCGGGTACGCCTGGGCGCCGTTCGGGTTGGGCGCGCCGTGCAGGGCCAGGATCTCGTGGCGGAGCACGTAGTTGCCCGGTTTCAGGTTCGCGGGGATCTGGACGAGCCAGCTGTTGCCGTTGGCGCGGAGGGCGTCGGCGGCCCAGCCGTTGTTGTAGCCGGCGCCGCCGATCTTGAAGAAGCGCAGCGCGTTCTTGTCGACGCTCTCGCAGGGCCCGTTGCAGTCGGCCAGGTAGTCGATGACGGGGCCGACGTGCGACTCGGGCCACTCGGGCGTCCAGACGATGTTGATCTTGTCGCCGGCGGCCACGGTCGCGTGGCCCTTGCCGGGCGTGGCGCCCTTGTGGCAGATGATGTCGGACGTGCCGAAGCTGTTGGGCTCGATGAAGCCGTTGTCCTGGTTGAGCGCCGCCCAGCCGATGGTGTTGGGCGCTGACCCCGGGTTGTAAAAGTCCGACGTCGGGTCGTAGTTGCGGTAGTAGTTGCCGTTGACGATGATGTGGCTGACGTGCCCGTGGGCCGACACGAGGGCCGCGCCGGCCAGGGACGCGAGGAGGGCGGATCGGGGAGCCATGTTGACGATGGACTGAGGACAGGACAGGCTGTGAGGATCAGGAGCAGGAGATGTCACTCTGGTGCTTGAAGCTGATGGTTTTGGACCATGGTGAGGGACAACCACGGTCCTTATATATACAGCCCATGACGATGGCGAGTCCCGAGGGACGTCGTCAACCCCTCCACTGACATGTCTTGGCCAGGATAGCCGGCACGATGATACCGCAATATGGAGAGTGCAACACGACCAGTGAATGTGGGCTGGCATAGAACCTGGAATCTCTCCACGGGCTGAAGGTAGATTCTGGAATTGCTCAGGGCCATGGACACATCCACAACCGCAAGGCCGAGGGAGGCAACGGTAGCATCCGCTCCGGGTCACGGCTGTCGACGGTGGAAACTTGGGGAATATCGGGAGGCATCCCGTCTTGATGCCCATCCTGGTTGACCACGAGCTCATCTTGGGACCATGAGCTCATCTTGGGGAGCCGCAAGTCCCCCGGGCATGGGGGGTTGACATGGAATGCGATTGGTAGTTTGTTGGCAGCCACAAGTTCACAACCAGCATCAGCCTTGACTCCGGGGAAACCACACTGAGAGAATGGGCCATGGCAGTCCATTCTCAGCCTTGATCTGGCGATGCGGAAGCTCTTCCGATCCGCGTCGGGAAAGGCGTCCATCCAGCGTCGCAGCGAACCCAGCAACTCCCCGCAAAAAGGGGTGGAGAAAGCGGTGGTTGCAACGGCGCGTTTCGATGTGGCATCAACGGTGACAATACCACCACCAAGGTAGACAAGACAAAAAAAACAAATATCGCTAACCATGTGGTCAAATTTAAGCGACGTCGACTAGACCTCGGAGACGCGCCGTCCGACGAGCGATTCCCCGCGCTGCCGCGCTGTCAGGCAGTTGTTCATTTGCGAACTGTCCCAGGCCCAAGGTTCGCGCAATATCGACACACGTTAGCTGATGGACCAAAAATCCCGGGGTACAGAGACGAGCCGCTGCGCGCGCGGCACGGTAGTACTCTTACTCCCCATAAAATGCTGCACTGGGGAACTTCATCTGTTTGGATGCTACCACAGCAATTCGAGATGAAGGGGGGAAATCGCCAAGAAACAATGCTGTCGCAGCACAAAGAAACACAGAAATAGGGGGGGAAGGCCAAGCACGTTCTGCCCAGCCAAGAGCTGGCATAACGTCATCTCCAGAGTCCGCCGCCTGTGCGGAAAACTTTTCATTCCCCAGGTTGATGCGACGGGAGTTCGATCGGTGGTCGACTTCCATAGACTCGAGTAAAAAGGGTTATTACGGTCTTTGACCCGTCAATCCGCTCGCAGCGGCGCTACACTCGACCAAGCACTTACTTGCCTTGGCGAAACGGAGAACCGCTCGGGGGCAGGGGAGCGAGATCGGACCTCTCACCCTCTCTCTCCCTCTCGACACTTGCCTTGCTAATAATGGTCGTCTAGAGTCAACAACCTAATAAACGATTGGAAATATTGTCGTTGCCTCTGCTTCCTGTAGGTATGCTCAACATAGAGGTTTCTACCAAAAATGTACGTCCCTGTTGGTGTATCCACGCGAGGCTGTGTCGGGCCGAAAACTTCGGCAGCCTCGAGACGTGACGCACAAACCCAAATACCAACCCATATTCACATCAATCGGCGGAGTGGCGAAATGGTATCGTGTGGTCCTCCTATCTGAAGGATCCAGACTGAGGTTGTGGGTTCGAGTCCCATCTTCGTCGTCTTTTTGTTTTTTCGTCCGGGTCCAGATGTGGATATTCCATGATGGTTGTGGTGAAAGACGGTGTGTCTGACAACCCTTCACACGGTAGGTACGACCAGGCACGAGCAGTTACCGTATTTAGAAAACCAGTTCCGAAGACACCTCTCACTCTTCCACCGAACACACATCTCTATCACCAGTGATCCAAATAGGTCCCAATGTCTTTCGCATGTCAATACCTATTCCAGTCGACAACGTGATCTCAGATATCAAACGACTATAGACCGAGTCCACCTACTCTGAGACCAACCAACTCTTCCACACATCACTCCCATCCAAAAAGGCCATATCCTCCAGATTCATAGCCATCACAACCTCGATCGTCTGCTTGATCCCCACACCCCTCCTCCGAGGCAGCATAATAATCAACCCATCACTATCAAACCACGGGAACCTCACAAAAGCAGGCTTCCCAATTCCAGCCCCAAAGTCACACCCATAGATATCCATATTCGCCCAGCTCGTCGCCGTCAGGTCCGGCCCGTGTGAGCGCACAGAGTTCGATTGGACCTTGAGCAAATCCGGCGCCGTCTCCATCAAAGTCATGACCTCGCCGATATGATCCGGCGCCGTGACGCGCCGTATCGCATCCCAGACAGCCTCAATCACACGGACCAGCGCCTCATCATCACAAGTTGTCCCGATCTTTGCTAGAGTCGAAACGTCAACCTCGGGCAGGCCAAACACGTTGATGTTCCCCAGATACATCCTCTCAGTCTCCGCAAAGGTAGGTCCCAGAAACCGCCGCCCGTTGATCGCGAAGCCCAGCTTGGACGTCTCCCGGCCTACGTCGCCGCCGAGCCTGACCATGCGCGCCTGGGTAACACATCCCCAGGCGACAGCCATGAGGATGTTATTCGTCGAGAGCGCCCTCTTGTCGAGTTCCCTCCCCGCACCGGTGGTCCTCAGCCGTTCCCTTGCAGCCTCAAGCTTCGCCACATCAAAGACGAACAGCCGCGTCCCACCCTTCGGCTTTTTTTGTGTAGGTGCAGAACCACCTCCTCCCTCGCTGAGGTACTGGAACTCAGACAACCTCCCCAAGATCTCCTCAAAGCTCTCTCTCTGCGTCGTCGTCCTAGGTCTTCTTCCGCCCTGCTGCTCCTCGATAGCAGACCAGAGCAGTTTGGTTCTGAGGGAGATCTCATCGCTCCTCGGCGCCGTGGCGGGGTTTTCCCGGGAAGAAGTACACTCGGCCCAGAAACGAATCAGGTTCGTCATGCCCGTCCCGTCGACGATGCCGTGGTGCGCTGCGAAGGCGATGATCACGGCGCCTTCTATCAGGGCGTAGCCGGCGAAGAAGACTGGTTCGCCGCCGTCGCCGTCGCCTGGGTTCGCCTCCTGGCGGGCGGCGGTGAGCGTCGGGAGGGGGTTGGCGAAGTACTCGACTGGCGCGTTTTGGGCGGCCAGTTGGGTGTATGTCGGGATTGTTGTGAATTGGTCATCAGGGGAGGAAGAGGGGGCGGCGACGCCGATGTGGTTGATCAGCGGGGTGAGGGTTACGGGCGTGTCCTCCGAGGGGGAGGAGACGAGGGCCAGGCGATTGCGGGAGTCTTTGTCGGAGGGGATGATGATGCGGCCGCGGAGGAAGGGGAGGTGGGTTGTGAGTCTGTCGATGCCGGATTGGAAGGTTTCGAGGGCGGCGGACGGATCGGAAGTTGGGAAGACGAGGTAGGTTGGGACGTGGCTGCGGGGCATGAATTGGTCGAGGGGGGAGAGGTAGACGGGTTCGGGCTGGGATGTCATTTTGGCCGAGTGAGGTGAATATGAGGTGTGAGGTTGGAGTTGGAAGGGGTGGGAGTCCGAGACGCTGATCAGAGGTGGTAAGATTTGAAGTCGGAAGTAAGGAGAAGGATTCCGAGATGCTGAGGGGAAGGGTGTTCTTGCTGATAAATCCAGCAACCTAGTGAGATGTGGAATCCCACAAGCACCGAGGTCATGAAATGGATTCTGGATGACCCTTTGATTTATAGTTTTACATGGACGCTGAGGATTCCAATAACACACCAAGAAAATTATAAAATACCCCTTTTTGTCGAAATCCCGAACGGACCAATCGAGCGGGAGGACCCGAAAGCTTGCATACACCCCCCACCCCAAGCCGCTGAGTCACTCGCCGCCGCTGTGTACGACAGGGAGAGAGACCGCATCGTCGAAGACGAATCAGAGGTCGCGGCTGTGTGAATAGGTAGGTAGGTAGGTAGGTAAGCATCACATAGTAAAGTAGCACAGCACGGCCAGCCATACCAGGAGCTGAGAAATATTTGCGATCTGATGGTGTGTTTTCGTCTCTCTCCCTCCCTGAACTGTCATTCCCGCCGTTTTCCTCCCCCCCTCTTTTTTTTCAAACGAGAGACTGAAGAGAGGGTCTGATTTCCAGGAAGGAGAGTAGGAGACTGATGGGAGGGGAGGAGGCCGAGCAAATTTTTACGAGAAGGAATTCAATGTGGCATCTGGCATCTCAACACTACCTCACTAACACCAGGGATATGTTTCTATTGCGTGTACCTAATGAACGTATAAACCCCTGTTATGGTTGAAATAGAAGTAGTGTACTCTCCAACATTTATGTCTCATCCCAAAGTGTGTATGTGTGTGTGTGTGTGTGTGTGTGTGTGTGCAAACAATGAGACCGACAAGGGAACTTTTTTTTTTTGATCAAATCTAGGCACGGATAGAGATTCTTTTTGTTTCCCATTGTTTGAGCACCCTTCATTATCTTGGAGCATACACGGTTTACACTTTGGTGTGTCTGGGGATGACGACAAGGTTTTTGAAATCTTGATACATACCTAGGTAGGTAGGTACTGTTTTTGTCCGCTCTCCAATTCTTTTCAAACCATAATAATGTGCTCTCCAACATTTATGTCCCAAGGTGTATGTGTTGTGTGTGAGTGTGCAAAACATTGAGACTAAGGTAAGGGAACTTTTTGATCAAATCTGTGCGTAGAGATTCTTTTGCTTTAACTTCCCCATTTTTTAAGCACTCTTGCTTAGGTTTCTTTAAGCATATATGTATACTTTGGTGTATCTGGCGATGACGACGCTTTTGAATCTTAAAACTACCTGTCATCCACTCTGCAATTCTTTTGAAACACCAAACCCTGCGAATCGCCTAAACCTTCGATGTCAAGTGCTATAACCTGAATGAGGGCAACTTTCTCTGTCATTGGTCTGAAACACACAGGTGGCATGCAAGTGTTGTCTGTATGTGGCATTCGCAATCTGTTTAGACTCTTGCTTATTACCCTGGTAGTTAATTTGGTGTGGGTAGATAGGTTGATTGTGTTAGTCCTTCCATTGAAAGCTATTGCTTTGACAACCCCATTTGGCCCTTGAAGAAATCCATAGGCTTCATATTAAATATACTATCAGAAGGCCGGGAAAACTATCATAGGCACACCTCCCCATCTAGAATTACTTTAACTTCCCTCCCAGCCCAGAGACGGACTCTGAGTCCGAGTACAAACCTATTGTCTACCCAAACCTCCTCCTTATTACCCAGGTACCAGTCCATCACTGATTCCCCACGACATACCTAGCCGTCGCAATCCTCATCCTCTTCCCCGTCCAAATAAACGGCACCGTGAGCAGCGCAAAAACCCCCATAATAACCGTAAAGCTCCCAAACGGGACCAGAAACCCATCCTCGACCACCCACCTTGCGACCAGCGACGTCCACGAGAACGGCATCAGCCCGCGCGAGACCGAGACCATGACGAGACAATCGCTCGCGAGCTGCGCGTACGCGTCCACCAGATAACAAAACCACAGCGCCGCCACCTGCGCCAGCGCGAAGCTGACCATCGCATACCCAAACTCGAGCCCGATCCACTGGTACGCACCGGGATACTGCGCGCAGAAGCCAAAGACTAATAGTCCTGCCGTCGCCACGGCAAGCGAAACTAACATAATAGGCACGCGGCTCTCGGGCTCGGCGTAGCCGTGGTCGTGCTTGTTCGCCAGCCGCCAGAGGCGCTGGTCCGCCAGGCCGGCCGTGTAGATCCCGCCGCAGACGACCCCTAACAAACCCCCAATGAATACCAGGCCCGAGTTGACGCCCGCCCACTCGTAGGGTTTTTTGTTTAGGATTTGCGGGCCGACGACGGAGATCACCGCGGCGCTGCCGACTAGTCCGCTGTACTGCAGTGTTACGATGGTCGTCACGGGGAGCCGGAGCGTCGCCCAGGGCTTGGTGAATTGGTAGAGGACGTTGCCGCGGTACATGCCGAAGACTAACGAGCGGGCGAGGGTGTAGGGCGGATACTGCGGGGGGAGGACCGATGTGAGATTATCTGCGCCTGCGGCTGCTGCTGCTGGGGAGCGGGAGGAGGACGAGCGGTGGTTGTTGTGCTTGCTGCTGCTGCTGGGGGGCGATGACTGGCGGCGGCGGCCGGCTGCTGCTGCTGCGGGCATGGGGGCTGTCGAGGCCACGTCCGAGGACGAATCGGCATCGTACCAGGTCAGGGAGGGGCCGGGAGGCGGGTGGTGGTGTATCGGGGGAGGCTCGGGCGTGGCGACGCCGGTGAGGCGGAAGCGGGACGGGAGCGTCATGCGCACTGTTGACGGGAGCGACAGGCTCAGGTAGGGCGCCGGCGTGCGCGGGAAGTAGCGGGACGCTCGCGGGAGCGTGCGCTGGATCGGCAGGTACAGCGCGTCGCGTTCGTAGATGGTCTCGGGGACGAGGACGATGGAAAGGAAAAGCGTGCAGCCCGAGAGGCCGGCGTGGAGCTTGAACAACGCGAGCCAGCCGAGGCGGACGGCCACGTAGCCGCCGGATATACCACCGATGATGAAGCCGCCGGCGAGGCAGGACGTGTACAGTGCCTGTGGTGGGTTGTCAGTGATAATTTTGGTTCTCCTCGTTTCTGGACTGGCCCACCATCTTCGTGCAGCGCTCATGGACGAAGAACATGTCGCCAATGGTAGCCAGCGCGACCGTCTCGGAAACCGAACTCCCGA